ATGCCTGAATATCCCACCGTGGATGTGCTCTCACTCCCTCTTTCTCTCTCTCTCCGCAGGCCACGGATTCTAGAAATGGATAAAGAGGAGAACAGGCGCTCAGTCCTCTTACCAAAACATAGGAGACGGAGCAACTTCAGCTCTGAGAACTATTGGCGAAGGTCTTATGAGTACACGGAGGACTGTGAGGAGGAGGAGGAGGATGGCAGCCCAGCCAGGAAAGTTAAAATGCGGCGACACTGAGGATGGCACTTCCCAGGCTCGTGGAGCTGATGAGATTGGTCTCCAGTCTGTGAAAACTTTCTCCTCCCTCTGGCTATCTTCCATCTAGCTTCAGTTTTGGTTTTTCCTTTCAGGCTGAAGAGTAAACAGGAAGGATCTAGAGATTTGTTGTTATGAAAGGAGGAATGCTGGGATATATGTAAGGATGGAACGTGTCCAGTGCACATGGTGTCCTGAGTCATGGGTCAAATGGGCATCTTTCCCTTAGGAAGCAGATAAAGTTATGCCAGGCTGTCTGTTGGGATTTCTTTTGAAAACACCAAAAAGTTTAACTCTTTCATTGCGCAAAATTCAAGAATTGTATTTTTGTGTTTTTTTGTGTTTTTTTTTTCTTTAACTTTCTTCCTTTCCAAATGTTCTAAATATGATGTTTGACCCCAGGAGCTGAAACTCTGTGGTGGCCTCCTATTCCTTGCTTCACCAAAGGGCTCCTTGGTTTGTTCTTATGTAATTGTTGTTGGGTTTGTTTTCACGGTGCCCTGCAGTAACTGGAAGTTTGAATCTTGGCAGACCCTCCCTTACTGCCTTTGATTTCAAAGAGTTTAGGACATTTTTGTTGCACTTTAGTACCAGTTTTACATGCCGTAGGTTTCCTTCCCAGTCCCTTTTCCCAATCCAGTGTGAGCTCGCAGCCTTGTGTCCCTGTCCTCTCCGAGAAGAATGTACTAAAGCTCTGGTTTCTCAGTGCTGGTCTGAGCAGGGGTATGCTTTGGTTGAGGAGGAAGGAAAGGTGCCTGACTTTGCTGAGGCTGGCCCAGCATTGACCTGAGGTCCACATTGGAGCCCTGGAGCTGCTGAGCAAGTGACCACATTGAGTACGTGCTGCTTCCCAGAGCTGGAGATAGCAAAGAGGAGTAGGAGAGATGCTGTGCTTGTGAGGACACTTGCCTTGAGAACCCCTGAGAAGAGCTGTTCCCCACTGCCTGGGGGACTTGCTTTTGGCCCCTTGCCCCTTTAGGAGGAGAGGGTTGAGATGGCACAGCACTGCATCCCAAGGGACCAGCCGTGGGGGAGCCGGGCAGCTGGGCTGCGGTCTGTCCCCTCCGAGGCTGGCTCTGGGAGCAAGGACAGTGCAAGGCTCTGCTTTGGCCCCAGTTCAGTGCATTCAGCAGTTGCCCGCCTCTTCCTGGCTTATTCCTGCCTGGATTCCTGGGGTAGGGAATTCTCTGGTTGTTACAAGAAAAACACTGAGAGGAATTGAACATTTGCCCTTGGAATTAGTGTTGGAAAGTCTGCTGCCTTCCTCCTCTGCTCCCACCCGGTTTGCATTTGCCCAGACTGAAGCCTCGGAACTTTCAAAGTTTGGGGCCCAGCACCATATTTAGAACTGTACTTTTAAGAAACTTCCTCCAGTTGATTCTTTGAACCCAAGTGTTGGCAGTTGTAAGGAGTAGTCTTATTTTTAAATTTTTACTGCTTTGCCCTCCTTCAAATTGTAGTTTTTCTTGGTGTCGTGTCCCCTCCTCCCTCCCTCACCTCTGCACGCTTGGCAATAAAAAGATGTAATATATTTTGAAACACGTTTGCTGCTGTCATGAGGGGCCCCCAGTTCAAAAAAATGAAACAAAACCCAGGTGTTGTTCCCTGGAGCACCATTCCTGGGCGATCAAGCACGTTTGCTGACATTGGGGGCTCTGTGTCCTTTTTTCTTCCCCGCTGACTGCAGCTCCTGCCACTCGCCCGTTGCTGGGGTAGCTGCTCAGGCTGGATCTAGCAGGTCACGTTGGAGCAAAGGAAGTGAATTCACCCTCAGTGCCACTGGTCTGCGAGGGCTTCCTATCTCTGATTCTCTTTATCTGATTGCTTTCCTGGTGAGAGCCCCCCTTGGCTCGGTGTGGAGGTGCAGGCACAGCCTTGCTGCCAGCCTTTGAAGGAACCTGTCTTGTCTGTCCAGAGATCTGAAAGTTCATGCTTCTGCTGCTTCTGAAACCTTTAAAAAGCTATTTTCAGACCACGCTTAGTGTTTGAAGCAGTGTTCCCCTGGCTTTCTGCTGAGAACTTGGGCCAGCTCTTGGCTACAAACTCCCTGTTTTGGAAAGCTTGGCATTCCCCTGATGGCAAAACCACATGCTAGGAGCAGCGTCCCTCTTCTTCCTTATGGCTGGTGCAAACATCTCTGGCAAGCTAGAGACCTGCTAGCAGGATGCCCCTAGCAATGGCTGTTTTTAATTGTCTTTCTGGATTCATCCTGGATGTGCCCCACACTCTCCTCACTGCCAGGCTCTGCTGGCAGTTTCAGTAGTCCCTGCCAGAGGTCTCAGCTCTGTGCAGCCTGCTCTTCCCCCATCCCCCCACCCCACCAGCTCCCAATTTTACTCCTACCTCTGCAAAATGGATACTGTACCCTGATGTCTCAACTCAAAAAGAAGCTGGAGGCAATCTGCCTTTCTCGGGCGCTTCCCAGAGCCAGGCTGCTGTGGGACAAGGCGTTGGCTCTATCTCTGCTGAAGGCTGAATGAGGCATCCCAAGGTCATAACCTCTAGCCAGATACCAACCACCACCTTGACCCATTCCTGGTGTAGTCTGTCTGCATGCAGGTGCCCTTTCTCTCCTGGTTTGTTTTGGCATGTCCACATGCCACCGTTGGGAGCTCTCCCCTCCTTCCTTCCTCCCTGCCCCACATCTGTGTGGTGGGTCTGAGCTCTGGCTGGAGGGGCAGGAGGAGCTCCTCATGTCTCCAGCCTCCGTCTGTTCTCTTGGTTTTCAGCCTGACTGGTTGGGGCTTGACACCTTGGAAAGAGCAAGAGTGGGACACAACCAGTCTGACCCGTAGCATCTCTTGGGCGAGGAGTCCCCAGCCTGTAGGCAGGCCATCTTCCCACTTGTACAGACATTTTCTATACACACGGATGTATATGTGTAGATAACATGGTTTTTTAACTCTTTTGCACTGAACAACATTGGAGCGAAACCTTGATTTGAAACCAGAAGACACATTTTTCACGTGGATCCAGATACCTAGATCCCTTTCTGTGACCTGTCTGGTGAAACTGTGGCTCAAAAATGCTGGTGATGCCTGTGCCTGTTCTCTGTCGCTGGCTGTGTCGAGCTGCCTGCAGGCTTTGGGTCAGGTTGGTGGCACGGGTCTGCTGTGAGGGGTGGAGGGTGGTGAACTTCCGTTTGGAGGCAGAACTTCTCCCCATCTGCTCTGCAGGACAGGCTCATGCACAGACCTGACCTGGTCGGCTTTGTCGTGTTTGTCTGGTCCAGTTGTGTGGTCTGACCTCTTCCCTCCACCCACAGCGTGTCCTTCGTGTAACCTGCTCATCCCAAAACTGGGAACAAGGCCACATCCAGTGTGATGATCCCACATACCCACAACCCAGACCATGAGAACTGTCTTTTTTGAGGAAGGGGGAGGAAGGTGGGGCCTGTCCCCGCTTTTCCACAAGCAGCAAGGAGAGTTGGGGTTTGTTACTTCTCCCGTGTCTGGAGAAGACTCAGCGATGGAGCTGCAGCTCTTGCATCACCCGCGTGGGCTCCCTAGTCCTGCAGGAAGGGAAGGAAGGGCTGTTTGCCTGGGCAGGGCTGGGGAGGGGCTGTCGCTCTGCCGGCTCCGCTCGACTCTCATCCAGCTGTTAGTCAGGAGAGAGCTGTGACTCCCAGGATCTGTATCCCCATCCCCAGGCTTGGCTCACCCCAGAGCTTGAGGGGATCAGCAGGGTGTGGAGCTGCCAACCAGCTCTCCAGGGTGAGTGCCTGCCGGGGTACGAGCTCAGCCCTTGGGCTTTCGGTCCCGTCGGTCCCTGGAACCGGCTGCTCCCCGAGCTCCGTGGGTCACAACAGCCCCCGTGCTTTGGGGATAGAGCAGGGAAGCCGGGGTTCAGGGCCCTGCCACTGGCAAAGAGACTTATCTGCCAAAAAATGTTCCCTTTCCTGGTCGGGAGGAGAAATGATCCAGCCAAGAAGCTCATCTCAGCTCCTTCCCGCGCCCCTGCCCACACACGTTCTGGCTGACTTTCCTTTCTTTTTCTTTTTTAAAGATTCTAATTATTATTTTTTTTTTGGTTGGTTTTGTTATGAATTAAAATGGAATAAATAAATAAGAAGTGGCAATATTTTTTTTCTGTAAGCTTTTCCTAGGAAAAAGCATGGTTTGTAACAAAGTTGTACAGTTCTGAAGTTTGAGATACAAGAAGTACTGTGTGAAACGCTGTAAATGGGGCAGAGATTATTTTCTGTACAGTCTGACTTGGGGGTATCTTTTAATTCTGGTTGATTCTTAGGAAGAATTTGGTTCTTCACTGTCAGGGTTTGGAATTTCATGGTTTCATTATTATTATTTTCTTGTATAGATTGCTGCATTAATTGAATAAAAGCAGAAAGCATCGCTCTGCCTGCCTGTGTGGTGTTGCTGGTGGCTGGGATGTGTGTCTTGCTTCCCTGCCAGCAGAAACGAGGTTGTGGGGAAGTGCTTCTAAATAAAGGGAGTCTCCAGCTCCCTGGGGATGGAGTGAGCAGCCAAATGTGGTGTCTGTCCCTCCTGTGGTGTCCTAGAAAGCAGGGATGGGACTTGGTCTCTTCCTCCTCCTCTCCCTCCTCTCCATCCCTGAGGACCATAGGTGGACCTGTACCCTTCCAGCTCCCACCCTATCCCATTGCCCAGGCTTGCCAGTGCTGGGTCCCCCAGTGGCCCCAGCACCCCGGAGGGCTGTTCCCTGTGCTTTGGTCTCATGTGGAGCCCCTTGTCCTCCCTGTACTGATGGAGGCAAATCTTTTGGTAGGGCCTGAGGCAATAGGGCAAGGGGTGGTAGTTTTAAACAGAGGATAAATTTCAACTGGATAGAAAGAAAATTGGTTACAACGAGTGTGGTGAAACACTGGCTTGAGCTGCCCAGAGAGGTTGGAGATGCCCCATCCCTGAAGATATTCAGGGTCAGGTTGGATGGAGCTCTGAGCAACCTGATCTAGTTGAAGATGTCCCTGCTTATGGCAGGGGAGTTGACTTAGATGGACTTGAAAGGACCCTTCCACCACAAACCATTCTATGGTAAGAGGGAGATGGTGGTGGGCAGGTGTGTGGTGCCGTATGGGGTCTGTTGACCTTGCATGGTGACCTTCCTCCTCATCTCCCTCCACCTCAAGCTCCTGTCCTCTGGTGATGTCCTCTCCACCACCCTCATGCCCTAGGGCTGTCTCGAGCATCTCTGTCCATCCAAGAGCCCCATCATTAGGGCATCCATAACCCACTCTCCCCCTCAGGCTGTTTTCCACCCCAAATTCTGCGTCACCCCAGTGCGGCATCTCCCTGGGGGCTGGGGTTAGTCAGCAGGGAGGGGAAGCCCTGCCCTCCTGGGGTGACTCACCCCAAACCCAGGCCATGGCAGGGCACAAATACCGATGGCAGGAGCCAGCAGGGTGCTGAGCGTGGCCCCTCTCTGCGCATCCACGGGGCCATGCTCAGCACCTGCCAGCACAGGACCCGGTGCCCAAGG